GGGGGGGGGGGGGGGGGCTTGTGTGCTTCTGTGATGTGGAGGGCTAAGCCGGCGGTAGCATGACCGTTTTCTACGCATGACTACTGGTAGAGTAGCCCTACCCGACACGCCAAAACTGAGGGGCCAGACTAAGCCGTGTCCTACCACGTCCTATCCTTCCCAATCTTAACCTCGCATTCTTTCCTATCTTTTGTCCTTCCCTCATAACGATGTGTTCATATCGCTATGGCTCCTTCATCTAACATTGTGACATCTTTAACTTTCTTTATGCCACAATGCTTTCGTCTATTTTATCAGCCTCCCTTGGTCAACGCTTGTTTTGTCTGACCCCGACGCTATTAGGTTTCGAGGGCTAGGGTGCCGTTTCTCATCTTCCTTCCTTATTTCTTTAGAGTGTAGTAGACAGGTCTTGCGCAGGTAGTACCCCAGAAGCATCCAAGTATGAATGGTGCATGATCCAACAGGGGAAGGTGGGATGGAAATTAATTCATCCCTAAAGAGTGGATCAGGGGTAGGCTGGACTCCTTGAGCTACGGTGGAAGCAATCAGCTTAAGGGATGGGAACCCCTGAAATAAAAGCTCCGGTCCTCCAGGTTTGGGGGTTGCGCTGTAGGCCAGCACCCTGAGCACGTAAAACATCACACCGCTAAAAATCTCAGTTATATAAATGCCTCGGAAGGGAAACGACATCTGCAAAGAAAATGGACTCTGAATATTGGTATATGGAACGAACAAAGTGTATCAAACAAACAACAAGAAGTAACCCAGGAAATGATGAGAAGAAACATAGATATAGCCGTCTGATCTGAAACAAAAAAGAAAGGCAAGGGAAGCGAAACACTGAACAACTTTGTGCACTCTTACAGAGGCGTAAACAAACATGAAAATGCCAAAGCCGGAATTTCTATTGTTATTGGTGAAATATTCGGAAAATGTATAAAAAGTTGGGAGTATATAAACGAACGTCTTATTAAAGTGTTAGTGTTAAAAATCAAAGGAAAATTCATAAGTGTCATAGGAATATATAATTTGAGTGATGATGCCCCAATGGCTTAGAAAGATGATTTTGAAATGACAGTCAAAGAAACTCTTGACGGTATTCCAAAGTCCCATTAAAAAATATTTGCAGAAGATTTAACGGCAGAGTTGGAAGAGACAAGAACAACAATATTGTGGGTCCACATGGTGAGGATACTCGGAATGACAATGGAGTAAGAGTTATGAGTATTTGTGAAGAGTATGAAATTAAAATTAATAACATTTTCTTCCAACATAAAGATATTCATAAGTACACCTCGTACCAACACACAAAAAATTAATCTATAATAGACCTCTGTGTAACTAAGCAAAAAACTTCACTGAAAGTACAAGATGTTAGAGAGAAACGGGGAGCCCAATGTAGCGATCATCGTTTGGTAATTGCTAAAATATTCATACCATTTACATTGAATAGCACAGATAACGATGATTAAGAGGGATTTGTCATGAAACCTACCAAATATAAATTAAGCAGCATATTCGATTTAAGTTCAGCATATCTCTGCAAAGAAAGGCTTGAAACTAAACTATTGGTTTCAATACACAGGCCAATAGAAAAAGAATATGAACACAAAAAATGAATTCACTAAGCCGCAGAGGAGGCTTTAGGTACTAGCAAATTAAAACCGAAACAGTATTGGTGGGACAAAAGTCTGAAAGGAAAGATTAAGAGGAAAAAAAATTTATTTAAGATGGCATAATGACAAAAAAACTGAAACTAATTTACAGTACAAAGCAATAAGTAGAGAAGTAAAACAAGAAGTGTTATCAAGGAAGAGTATAATATGGATGTATAAATGCGATTATATAGAACAATTCATAGGTGGAGCACGGAGCTCAGAAGCCTGGAAAGTAATTAAATCTATTATATCGAATGAAAAAGCAATATCGCATTATCAAATATTACAATCAATAAATGGAAAGAGTATTTCGGAAGACTGCTTCTAGAAAACAGAAACTTCCAATCACACAAGGAAGTGAAATTTGAGCAAAGGGTAGATCTGACAATTAAAGATTTAGAAAAAGCACTTAAGACGATGAAATCCAATAAGTCACCTGGTCCGGGAGATATACCGGCAGAATTACTGAAATATGATCCCTATAAATTGCACCAAATGCTCAAACACGTTTTTAAGGTGCATGAATGGAGAGGATCCTTCTCAGGAGTGGCGAACGTCTCACCTAACACCAATCCATAAGAAAGGATCTAGAGACAAAGAAACATACAGAGGAGTAGCAGTTATTGGATCTATAGATAGACTTATCGCAAAATAATACGAAATAAAATAGAAGAAGAGATAAAAGGAAAAATAGGAGAGGAACAATGTGGTTTTACTGCCGGCAGGTCGGTCATAGACAATATATTTACATTAAAACAACTTATAGAAAAGAGAACAAGGAGAGGTAGGGAAGTTCATCTGGGTTTCATCGATCTTCAGAAGGCGTATAACAATGTACCTGTTGCTAGAGTACGGGATGAAATGAATGGACTTAAAATCAGTGAAAACGTCATTGGAGCGACATAGAATCTATATAAGAACAACACCTCTCAGATTAAGATCTACAGCAGGCTCTCGGATCCATTCCCAGTAAAGGTCTTCGTCAGGGTTGCTGTCTTTCCCTAACACTGTTTAAAATATATCTGCAGCAAATTGTACAGCAGTGGGAGAAACAATGCAGAGTAATGGGTATGACGATCGGAGACGATAAATTGTTTTCATTATA